GAGGCGGCGGCCGTCGGCGTCGTTCACGTCGGGCCCGACTGTCATTTGTTTCGTTCGATTTTAGGCTGAAGTTTGTTGTGTTTATATTATTGGATGCATTTGGATATTTGTTGATTTTGATGCTTTTTTTTCCTGTCGTAAGGGGGTTTGTTGATCTAACCGTTTGTTCGATTCTCGTTGCAGACATCGCCCAGTTCCTGCACAAGGGCGAGGGGCTCAACAAGACGGCCATTGGCGACTACCTCGGCGAGCGCAACGACTTCAACCAGTCGGTGCTCGACGCCTTCGTCTGCCTGCACGACTTCACAGATCTCATCCTGGTGCAGGCGCTGAGGTTCGTACCCCCCCCCCCCCTGCCTCTCTCCCTCCCTCGCCCACACTTTCTCTTCTCGTCTCGATGTGAAGGCTGAAGGTAGATTATGTAGCGATAAGGGAAATCGATAAGCAAATACAATGTTTGTTGTTGAGTGATGGTACGAGATACTACTATAGGGATTTTTATGTGTAGAAGCAGGATTTTGATTGACAGGGTTTAAACATTTATAAAGTTAACTTGAAGATTTAAATAGATACATAGATGTGTGTGTGTTTGTGTATGTGTGTGTGTGTGTGTGTGTGTGAGTGTGTGTGTGAGAGAGAGAGAGAGAGAGAGAGAGAGAGAGAGAGAGAGAGAGAGAGAGAGAGAGAGAGAGAGAGAGAGAGAGAAAATATAGTCTAGAATAGGCTTCCAGTCCCAGGTGAACTGGTTTCCAATCGTACTCACGGCGTCGAGTGTCGCCGTTTCACCCGAGATGTGTAACAAGGCCACAGAGCCTGCCGAGACCGAGCCGCCGGCGTCTAACCGCCCGTTCCCTCCGCAGACAATTCCTGTGGAGCTTCCGCCTGCCGGGGGAGGCGCAGAAGATCGACCGCATGATGGAGAGGTTCGCCCACCGCTACTGCGAGCTCAACCCGGCCATCTTCAAGAACCCCGACACGTGCTTCGTGCTGTCGTTCGCCATCATCATGCTGAACACGTCGCTGCACAACCCGGCCGTCAAGGACAAGCAGACCATCGAGCAGTTCATCGCCATGAACCGCGGCATCGATAACGGGGACGACCTGCCCAGAGAACTGCTCGAGGTGAGGAAGCCAGTCGCCTTTGCGTCGGCCAGGATTGCGACAGGCGCTCGCGTCGTTGCGCCGTGAATGGCTTTCCTGTCATAACCATTGTTCTCTCACTGTGTTAAAAATAATAATTATTTCATATCCAGTTAAAGAATAATCCTTATTTTTATGTCTAGTGCCCTCTCGTCCCCCTCCCTAACAAAAGCAATTCTCCGCAGAGTCTGTACGAAAGCATTAAAACGGAGCCCTTCAAGATCCCCGAGGACGACGGCAACGACCTCATGCACACGTTCTTCAACCCGGACCGCGAGGGCTGGCTCATGAAGCAGGGCGGCCGCTACAAGTCGTGGAAGCGGAGATGGTTCATCCTCAACGACAACTGCCTCTATTACTTCGAGTACACGACAGACAAAGAGCCCAGAGGAATCATTCCTTTGGAGAACATTGAGGTGGGTGCTGAGGTGGTGCTTTGGCTTGGGGAGTTGGTAGTTGAGTGGATTAAGTGAGTTTGTGGAAGAATTGTAGTTTCTTTATAGGTGGTGCACTTTAAGATGGATACTGGTGTGTCACTTTTATAGTAGGAGATCTAGTCAGAATGATGTATGCAAATGCTCTAAAAGATGGTAATACTATGCATCACCACTTATTAATAGGATGCAATATTTAATTAAGTGACAATATTTAATTCACGACGACATTTCACAGGTTCGGGAAGTACAAGACCGCAACAAGCCAAACTGCTTCGAGTTATATGCCACCTCGACCGATTTCATCAAAGCTTGCAAGACTGACAGTGAAGGGAAGGTTGTGGAAGGCAAGCACACCGTTTACAGGATGTCAGCTGCCACCCCAGAGGAGAAGGAGGAGTGGATCAAGTGCATCAGGTAAGTTGCTTTTCCTCATCCGTGCAGTAGCTTTCTTATTTGTATTGGTAATTGGTGCTTCCTTGATGATTAAGCTGTGAGAAGATAGCTTAGAGTGACTGAATTTCAAAGTAAAGTTTGGAGTGTGATGGAGTTGAATCAGAAGTGGTTAATATGGTTACATCTCTTTGTCTAAGAATGTGAAAGATAGAGTATGCTTTAATATTTTTCCGGTAATCTGGAATGTGAATAGTAATATTTTTGTGTATATCCTTCTCATGCCATTCTTTTTCTTGCAGACAAAGTATCAGTCATAACCCCTTCTATGACATGCTAGCCAAGAGAAAGAAGAATATTCAGAAGAACAGCAGTCGGTAATCATACCCGTGAAGAAGTTCGCTAATGTTTACTACAATAGGCTGAACATTTTAACCCACCTGAACAATGAGAGGCTGTGCACAATATTCGCTATGGGACATATTTCAAGTTTTTGCCTGCATTCTAGTGAAAAATGCACAAGCGAGAGAGCCTGTTTCAAGTGCTTGCATGTGAAAGAAAATATTATACAGACCTATCACAAGTGAAATGATGTTTTGAGTGCTCAGAGACACCGTCAGAATGTATACTTGCTTGCTTGCATTAAACGTGAAAAGTGTGGGTAAAAAGTACAGTACGCTTTAGCAGTTGCCTCTTTAACAAAGTGTTAAAAACTTTGCAGACATGTGCGGCAACTTAAAAGAAACTACAAAGAGGTCATTTTATACAGGTCTCTGCTGGACAGTGTGATCATTGTCATAAAATATATCTTATTCCCTGTACAACCTTGTGTCCAGTCATGATGTCTGCATGAACAGAATTTAGATTAATTTCTAATTGTAAATATGTTTGTGAATAGTGAAAAATTAAATTTTATGAGACATCAAGGTACTGTTAACCAGTATCAGTCATTGATGCCAAGTGTTTACAAAGGTATTGTGTAATAGTGTAAATATTTGTATGTATTTGGCTTACTTAATTATGTATGTGAGGTCAAGATATGAAATCTTTAGCCTTACAATAGAGTACCATGATTGAATGGAAGGCATGTAAAAGTCAGTTTGTACCAAATTGTGTGTTCGTAAACATTAGATAAAGGTTCGTAAATGGAATGTTAAGAGAGTGGAGGCTTGTGTGAGTGTCCAGAGTAGGTGCCGGATGTGGCTGTATAATAAAGGTACTTCCAGACACCTGCAGACATTGGTGTGTTCTGAATTATATATATAAAATTGCTTGGTAAATATAAAGTGTACCCCAGTCTGGAGGATTTGTTTGTTTATAAGTGAGTCTGTGATTTACCTTTTCATGCTGTGAGAGAGAGAGAGAGAGAGAGAGAGAGAGAGAGAGAGAGAGAGAGAGAGAGAGAGAGAGAGAGAGAGAGAGAGAGAGAGAGAGAGAGAGAGAGAGAATGAATGAATGAAAATGAGGATGAGAGAGAAAGAATGAGAATAAGATTATGGCCCCAGGAACAGGTGTTTAGAAGTTACATAACATTGTATACATTTATAGTTGGGGCCAAAGCACTTCACTCATCTCACATCGGAAACATTCAGCCACACCAAAATAACATCAACAGCAGATCCTTCATCAAATCCATTTATTGTTGTACAAAGATCTTGTTGATGAGCAGCGTTATGATGTAAGCAGTATCTTGGTGTCGTTGTTCTCTTCTGTGGATTTGATATTGTGCTGCTAATGCTGGTGATGGAATAGTAACACTACTCAGGTGGTGGACAACAACAGATAGGTGTTGTGTAAAAGCTGGCTTACTTTTCCCCCCTTCAGAGAGTGAAATACAAAAAACAATAAAAAAAAAACAATCAAAATGTTACAGTTAGATACTATTTAAACTCACGTATTTTACCCATTGGATTTGTCACTACACTAGTGTAATTTAGGATTGATAAAAATGCATGCTTCTCTCAGAAACCATTTTAATAGGCCATACTTCACCCCATTCCATTTCCATCTTGAGGCATGCATTTGACGCTCATGCTTAGCAAAACAACATGACCCCCAAAGAAGAAAAAATAGGATTAAACTTTGATCTTTCGCTAACCGGTTCTCTCTGTGGGTGTTTAGAAAGATTCCCTCCTGGCATGTGTTGATGTTAGCGAGTCTGATGTTGGGAACGCCACCCTTATTTATCACTCATAGACAAATCTAATATTTAGTTCCATACGGCCCAATATCTGCAGTCGTAATCAGTGGTGCATGTTTCCACACAAGATGCTTGGATCTCATACTTTTTCATATTTATAATCATCTGTTATGACATGTGATCCTGTTGCCAGTTACGAGCACATAGAAGACTCTCCCTCCACTCATTTAGGTCAGCGATCCAAAAGCACTCCCTCCCCTGCATCAACTCTTGGCTGATAACTGGCAAGAGAGAATGGCATGTTTTTATTGCTGTGATGGTTATCATATGGTGAGTACATAGGACTAGAGTATTATCCATACTCAGGATATTTTAAAGAGAGAGAGAGAGAGAGAGAGAGAGAGAGAGAGAGAGAGAGAGAGAGAGAGAGAGAGAGAGAGAGAGAGAGAGAGAGAGAGAGAGAGAGAGAGAGAGAGAGAGAGAGAGAGAGAGAGAGAGAGAGAGAGAGAGAGAGAGAGAGAGAGAGAGAGAGAGAGAGAGAGAGAGAGAGAGAGAGAGAGAGAGAGAGAGAGAGAGAGAGAGAGAGAGAGAGAGAGAGAGAGAGAGAGAGAGAGAGAGAGAGAGAGAGAGAGAGAGAGAGAGAGAGAGAGAGAGAGAGAGAGAGAGAGAGAGAGAGAGAGAGAGAGAGAGAGAGAGAGAGAGAGAGAGAGAGAGAGAGAGAGAGAGAGAGAGAGAGAGAGAGAGAGAGAGAGAGAGAGAGAGAGAGAGAGAGAGAGAGAGAGAGAGAGAGAGAGAGAGAGAGAGAGAGAGAGAGAGAGAGAGAGAGAGAGAGAGAGAGAGAGAGAGAGAGAGAGAGAGAGAGAGAGAGAGAGAGAGAGAGAGAGAGAGAGAGAGAGAGAGAGAGAGAGAGAGAGAGAGAGAGAGAGAGAGAGAGAGAGAGAGAGAGAGAGAGAGAGAGAGAGAGAGAGAGAGAGAGAGAGAGAGAGAGAGAGAGAGAGAGAGAGAGAGAGAGAGAGAGAGAGAGAGAGAGAGAGAGAGAGAGAGAGAGAGAGAGAGAGAGAGAGAGAGAGAGAGAGAGAGAGAGAGAGAGAGAGAGAGAGAGAGAGAGAGAGAGAGAGAGAGAGAGAGAGAGAGAGAGAGAGAGAGAGAGAGAGAGAGAGAGAGAGAGAGAGAGAGAGAGAGAGAGAGAGAGAGAGAGAGAGAGAGAGAGAGAGAGAGAGAGAGAGAGAGAGAGAGAGAGAGAGAGAGAGAGAGAGAGAGAGAGAGAGAGAGAGAGAGAGAGAGAGAGAGAGAGAGAGAGAGAGAGAGAGAGAGAGAGAGAGAGAGAGAGAGAGAGAGAGAGAGAGAGAGAGAGAGAGAGAGAGAGAGAGAGAGAGAGAGAGAGAGAGAGAGAGAGAGAGAGAGAGAGAGAGAGAGAGAGAGAGAGAGAGAGAGAGAGAGAGAGAGAGAGAGAGAGAGAGAGAGAGAGAGAGAGAGAGAGAGAGAGAGAGAGAGAGAGAGAGAGAGAGAGAGAGAGAGAGAGAGAGAGAGAGAGAGAGAGAGAGAGAGAGAGAGAGAGAGAGAGAGAGAGAGAGAGAGAGAGAGAGAGAGAGAGAGAGAGAGAGAGAGAGAGAGAGAGAGAGAGAGAGAGAGAGAGAGAGAGAGAGAGAGAGAGAGAGAGAGAGAGAGAGAGAGAGAGAGAGAGAGAGAGAGAGAGAGAGAGAGAGAGAGAGAGAGAGAGAGAGAGAGAGAGAGAGAGAGAGAGAGAGAGAGAGAGAGAGAGAGAGAGAGAGAGAGAGAGAGAGAGAGAGAGAGAGAGAGAGAGAGAGAGAGAGAGAGAGAGAGAGAGAGAGAGAGAGAGAGAGAGAGAGAGAGAGAGAGAGAGAGAGAGAGAGAGAGAGAGAGAGAGAGAGAGAGAGAGAGAGAGAGAGAGAGAGAGAGAGAGAGAGAGAGAGAGAGAGAGAGAGAGAGAGAGAGAGAGAGAGAGAGAGAGAGAGAGAGAGAGAGAGAGAGAGAGAGAGAGAGAGAGAGAGAGAGAGAGAGAGAGAGAGAGAGAGAGAGAGAGAGAGAGAGAGAGAGAGAGAGAGAGAGAGAGAGAGAGAGAGAGAGAGAGAGAGAGAGAGAGAGAGAGAGAGAGAGAGAGAGAGAGAGAGAGAGAGAGAGAGAGAGAGAGAGAGAGAGAGAGAGAGAGAGAGAGAGAGAGAGAGAGAGAGAGAGAGAGAGAGAGAGAGAGAGAGAGAGAGAGAGAGAGAGAGAGAGAGAGAGAGAGAGAGAGAGAGAGAGAGAGAGAGAGAGAGAGAGAGAGAGAGAGAGAGAGAGAGAGAGAGAGAGAGAGAGAGAGAGAGAGAGAGAGAGAGAGAGAGAGAGAGAGAGAGAGAGAGAGAGAGAGAGAGAGAGAGAGAGAGAGAGAGAGAGAGAGAGAGAGAGAGAGAGAGAGAGAGAGAGAGAGAGAGAGAGAGAGAGAGAGAGAGAGAGAGAGAGAGAGAGAGAGAGAGAGAGAGAGAGAGAGAGAGAGAGAGAGAGAGAGAGAGAGAGAGAGAGAGAGAGAGAGAGAGAGAGAGAGAGAGAGAGAGAGAGAGAGAGAGAGAGAGAGAGAGAGAGAGAGAGAGAGAGAGAGAGAGAGAGAGAGAGAGAGAGAGAGAGAGAGAGAGAGAGAGAGAGAGAGAGAGAGAGAGAGAGAGAGAGAGAGAGAGAGAGAGAGAGAGAGAGAGAGAGAGAGAGAGAGAGAGAGAGAGAGAGAGAGAGAGAGAGAGAGAGAGAGAGAGAGAGAGAGAGAGAGAGAGAGAGAGAGAGAGAGAGAGAGAGAGAGAGAGAGAGAGAGAGAGAGAGAGAGAGAGAGAGAGAGAGAGAGAGAGAGAGAGAGAGAGAGAGAGAATTTAATTTCTCATTTTGTAAAACTACAACACCTGTTATGTATTTTTACTGCATCTTTTTTTTTTGTTTTTTGTTTTTTTTTTTACTTTACACATGTAATACTATTTATGGCTTTCTTTTCCAATCAACAAATTCTTTTTATTACTATCCAACAGGGCACATGCAGGTAATATCTGCATGTGTCTTGTCCATTTTCATTAGATTTAAACTGTACAACATTTCCCCTGTGGTCAATGTCTATATTTGATTATGTACAGCCGTGAAAAGGTATTTACCCAGTTGTATATATTTCTGTAGGACTTTATATTATTGTAATTAATAAAGTGAAGACGGTTTTATGTTTTCTTAATTCATATGATTAAGGATAACCTTAACTTCATTTGGTTGTCATGAACCAAATATTTAGATACTATTTTTGAGTCTCAAGATAAGCTGCTTTATATAAACCATATAAAAGAGTTCATAATGATATATACTGTATTAATAATTTCATGAATAAACACAGCCTCATATGTTTTGAACTTCAATACTATATTTGGTTAATAAGGAACGCATCAGTAATAGATAAAATTGCAACTATTTTTACCAAACACGCTGTAGCGAAATTGTTTTGCAATATTATTTTTGTGCATATTGATTCTATTCTCAGAGAAAAGATAGACAATGAAAAAAAAAGTTTTGTTTTTTACGATATGTACATTTTACTAGTTCCAGAGCCTGAAGTGGCAAGATTTGAAAACATGGTTTTACCCAAAAATCAAATGGCTGTGACATTAAACTTACAGAAAACAACTTACTGACATATATGTAAATATCTTCACATTGAACATTTGGTAAATAAACACAGAGAAGAAAGAAAAATATAGATGACAGATGAAAATATGACTGGCATGTGACACATTTACTGCAGACAACTGTCATCACAATAAATGATGACATAATCTCATACAAGGAATGTGAGAAAAAGAAAACCAAACAGGAAATACATCTGTCATAAAAATACCAGGGATATTTCAGTGGTCATTTATAAAGAAATATCTAGTGGACAGTTATTCACTAAGACAAACACTGAAATCTTACCAAACATAATGTACTTGAAGCTACATAGTGCTAGTTTTTTTAATTTCATTATATCAGTAACTAAAACTCTTCCTTTATCTATGTTTGATAGCTCTCAGACTGCAGTAAGGCTATCAAATTCTTGTGTAATCAAGGACTTGGTCAGTGCTGTTATATATATATTCAGATCTATGGTCTTGAAATGTTTAAATTCAGAAGAGCGATGAAAAGAACTCGGCAATTTTTTCATTACTCAAGGCAAATTATGTACTAAACATCTTTAGTTTTGACAGAATTGTTATAAGGTCTTTATATGGAAACTTTGATCACCAGTTTGTTGAATCCACACAGATATGACTAATGGATGAGGGAATGCACCTGTTATATTTATTTCAGTATTAATATCATTGGTCTTATGAGGCTATTTTTAACTCGTATAATTTCTTACCTGTAATACTGTGACGAACTGGCAGTCTTTCTAAAGTAAAGAATGTGCAATGTAAGCAGTAGTGGCTGTACACGGTTACGTGTGTCCTTGTCCTAGGGTTGTGTATCATAACAAGTATGCTCTCAGTGTAAGCATTAGAACAAGGCAACTCTAGACAGAATTGTTTTTTTTTTTTTTACTTTACACATGTAATACTATTTATGGCTTTCTTTTCCAATCAACAAATTCTTTTTATTACTATCCAACAGGGCACATGCAGGTAATATCTGCATGTGACCTGTCCATTTTCATTAGATTTAAACTGTACAACATTTCCCCTGTGGTCAATGTCTATATTTGATTATGTACAGCCGTGAAAAGGTATTTACCCAGTTGTATATATTTCTGTAGGACTTTATATTATTGTAATTAATAAAGTGAAGACGGTTTTATGTTTTCTTAATTCATATGATTAAGGATAACCTTGTGTGTGTGTGTGTGTGTGTGTGTGTGTGTGTGTGTGTGTGTGTGTGTGTGTGTGTGTGTGTGTGTGTGTGTGTGTGTGTGTGTGTGTGTGTGTGTGTGTTTGGGAAGGAAGAGAGCGAGAGAGAGAGAGGGGGGGGGGGGGATTTCAAAAGGAACGTAAAGTTAAGCTTAGGGAATGCATGGAAATCTAGTTATAATTCCCAAAAGATTATAATAATTCTGTCTATTTTGTCTTAGCTGTTTAATAGAAAACTATCCATCATTTCCCAATGTTTTAAACATTAAAGTAACAAAATCGACAAGGAAAAAATAACAGAATTTCTTATGAGGCTATTTTTAACTCGTATAATTTCTTACCTGTAATACTGTGACGAACTGGCAGTCTTTCTAAAGTAAAGAATGTGCAATGTAAGCAGTAGTGGCTGTACACGGTTACGTGTGTCCTTGTCCTAGGGTTGTGTATCATAACAAGTATGCTCTCAGTGTAAGCATTCGAACAAGGCAACTCTAGACAGAATTGTTTAGTTTTTTTTTTTTTTTTCTCTCTCTCTCTCTTTCTTTTTTAAGTTTCAACAGGTTTGCATAAACCCGTTCCCTGACCAGTATAATCGAGAGAAAAATTACATCTAGTGATTTTCGTGGAAGAGCAGCTTAGGCAGGGAGGAGAGCAGTGTGTTCACCCTTGAGAACAATGGCATTTCCGAAGTCCTCTCGCTGGCATGTTCGTGTCGGCATTTCGGAATATATTACTATGCTATGTTGTAGAATATAATAATGTCTTTATATTATAATCCTACAGCGATTACTTCATAATCCGATAGTTATATGTTTCTAATTGAATATACAAATTTATCCAAAATGAACTTAATCACATAAACTAATTGGTGAAATTATCAAGCTTGGATATAGGCATTCCCGGCTGATGTGTCTGAAATAGAATTAAGTTTGGAAAATCTGCTGTGAATAATGATGATCCTTTGTATTGTCTTTCCAATTCTCTAACTGTGACGGAAAAGAAACAAAGAAAAACACCTGTTTATTTTGCTTATGGTACTAATTGGATTATGAAAGAAGATTTTGATAAAGATTAAATAATGGCGGTATATCAGTTTTGATTTGCAGATTTGTGATAAAATATTTCTTTGACTCATGTAACAAAACATTCACTATTTATCAACTAAAATACGTCTGGAAAGGATGACAGACAAAAGAGGATCGGGTATAAAAGTTTTATTAATATCATCACAGGATTAACTGGGATATATATACACATTGATTAGGGTCACTGATATAAAGTAGTCGTGACATGCACATGGTACAAAATTATCATTTAGAACAACAAAAGCAGTCCAGCTCCGTGTAAGGAAAAAAAAATATGGATCAAGACAGGGAATTATGGGTCAACTAGAGGAAATACTAGATAGATCACTCACTGGAAACAGCATCGAGTTGTCCATATGGTGATTAGTAATATAAAACGACGATACATGAGTGTTGAACTAATGGTTTTATTAGGTTGTGACTTTGGTTTTGATCCCTTACTTTATTGTAGTGTCCTATATTTACCCCCACTCGAACCATCTTCCCTCATCTCCGGGCCAACGTTTACCTCCAAGTCTAAAATTCAGGAGTACGTGTGATGGCCCAATAGCTAATATTGTAAATTGTATTCGAGTATTTAAATTTCTTTCCATCACACATACACCTTTTTTTCCCCCTTTGAAGCAGAGAAAACATACAAAATTTGAGAAGCGTGGTTGTAGACGTATAAAAACTGTATCACTTTTCTTTTAGACTTTCTTGTAAGCGTTGGACCGTAGCGTCGAGTTGTCTTTCAAACACTTTAATAAACATCAATGATTTACTGTCTTTGGTTCTGCTGTATGACTTTTTGAAAGAGGAAAAAAATTGTTTTTTTTGTAGTAAAATGGCAGTGCAGTGAATGAGCGAGAATATTTAACTGTGTCATCAACTAATAGAAACCGTATGCCAATTTTCTTGTTTCTTTTTTTTTTCACCATCAATTCTTACCAAATAACCGCCCAGGATCTTTTGCTTAAATAATCTATCAGTCATTTGCATAGAATTCAAACAGTCTGTGAGAAACAGCTGAAATGATTAAGCAAATATTAACCGATTTTATTTTTCCCTCTTCCTCAGATTCTTACTATATTATTAGCCGGCAAACAGGGACAATGTACACTAATAGTAAGAAAAGAATACTGTACCACAAGTTCAATTTTGTTTTAACGAACGTAAACCTCCAACCTAAAAACACGAGCTTTTCAGTAGTCAGCGAACGGATGGTAATTAGCGTCAAATGATGGTCTATGTCTAAGTCCTGCAGGTAGTGTTAGTATCATTTTGTCCTGTATTATCTTGTCCAAGTTATTTTCACGGTGAGCCTCGTAAACTTACCCATTATTTTCCCCGTGTGAAAATATGAACAAGATAGAGTATTGTTCTAAGCGTAATCAAAAGGCCACAGTATTTTCAGAACTATCGAGGGAGTTTCAGTCAATTGTTCTTCCTTTTCACAGTAACGTTATGGGCGGTGGCGGTTGTGTTTGCACTGATACAAGTCTATTCAACGGAAAAGTATACGCACGTTAGCTCATCGTCGTCTATAAATTCACAAATGAAAATCTACTAAAGAAAAAAAGAAATATATATACGAAAGAGTCATATCGATCGCTGTCTTAAAAAAAATTGAAAATCACTTGTTACTCTACGAAAAAAGGGGTAAAAAATATCCGATAATTTTCTTTACATTGTGCCTGTTTCACGTAGCTCGACTAACTTCAAAAACGCCTGTTTCTCACTTCTTTCTCGAATAGTTTGAAAGCTGTAACCAAACATCTTCCCAATTGTTATCAAGGTTATTACTCCAACCCCCCCCCCCCCCACTAAAAATATTATGATAATTCGTCAATAAAAGGCAGAATAACTATTTTGTCCACGGATCAACGTACACACACAAGGCAATATCGTGTAAATTATCCGATTATGCTTTTAATCTCAAGCTGTCTGTATTTCCAATTACAGCCCCAAACATCTCAACGATTGTGAAATGCTTTGAATACTTATTGCCTTACATTTCCGAACATCTAAAATACTTTTTTTAACACAATGCACTGGCGGACTTAGCCACTCTATCTATTTTTTCGAGATTGAACACCGCTTTAGGTAGGGTAATACTGTCATCTCCGTAAATTCTAGAAAACCGGTGCAGAAGGCGCTCTCTTGAAACATTTCCTCTTGAAACATTCCCTCGCAGCTAATTGGGGCAATTCACTATTTACATTCGTAGTTGCATATTCTAACCCATTGACGACAAAGGACTATTATTTTTTAAAAAGGTATGAACACCAATCTAACTTAATTTTTTTTCTTATTGTTTTCCTTTTTGTCTTTGTTTTTATTGATTTATTTATTTTACTAAAAGATGAGTGTACCCAACCATCCCTCCCCCCCCCCTTAACCCCCACGGAAGCTGTTGTAAAAATGGTCATCATAAACACTACCATTAGGATGTGTCTTGTTTTTTTTTTTTTTAAGTACACTTTCTCGTAGACGTAGGAAAAAATCTATATCGTACACACATTCCCACCGAGGCGCAAGTCAGTCATTTACGAAAAAAAAGAAAAAAAAAACATTTATCTATCAATTTAAAATGAAACATCCTTACGATTTGCTTCTTACACTCCACTTTCTTATATACAACAAACATGTGAAACCAACAGTTGTAAAAAAATCTATATTACATTGTAAGGGTATCGATCATACTCCACACTAGCCTAGAGTTACCCTTACGTTATACAATCACGTCGCAAAGTACGAACACTCTTTGGTTGCTCTGTGGCACGATGACTGGTTCTCAGGCCTCCTCCGTCTGTGTGGCCCCCGGCGGGAGGGGCAGCGTCCGGCGCCTTCGAACTCCCCTGCAGGAGGAGGAGGCTTCGACGAACGGATGGCGCCCTCGCACTGCAGCCCCGTCGAGGGCGGAATCAACGGAGCGAACGGCCTTAATATATAGAAGGGGCGACGTCCGGGAACTTGCCTTTAGAGAGACGGACAGGCCATCCGCTGCTAGAACAAAACTTCACTATGAAGTTCTTGTCGTATAATTATCATTATTTTTTTTAATGAGAGGAAGAAAAGAGTCTTTTTTTAATAAAAGACGGGGAAATGAGATTCATTAACCGAGTGTCCCGGAAGGCTGTCGCGCTCTCTAAAAATGTCGCTTCCGAACTGAGAAAGATGATTTTTGGGGATCTTTGGTCCTATCCACTAAATGGATGTTGGTATCCAGAAGCCATAGTTAACTACACTACCGAATACAAATATAATTAAAATTACTTATTATGAAGCTGCCGCTCTAGCTCCTACGCCATGAGGAGAGTCCATAGGCCGTAGCTTGTCGGACTTGTGCCACACAAACCTTTTCCTTTTTCCGTAACTCCCAAGAACGCGTCGCTAGATATGAGATCAAATCATATGGTAGAACAGCTGATCCGTAAAACATGTTGCGAACATGCCCGTAAGAAGTCGGCAATCTGATACGCAAAATAATACCATAATTTTTTTTGCTTTTTGTTTTTTGCGAGAGGTACACCTTTTTTCTTTCTTTTATAACGTTAGCTACTGGTATATTGTGGATACATAATGATATATACAGAGTATGCAAATAAGGCAACTAGACATGTGTAGCCTTTTAAGGGTAAAGCGATGTGTGAGGTGTGACTTAGGTGTAGTGTTGATACAGCAATGATACAGTAGAAAAATCAGTATGCCATGTTTTCTGCGTATCACCCGTCGTAATGATACACTCAAGGGCGACATTCAGATAGTATAATGATACGTGAAAGAAGCAGTTTTGAATACATATTAAACCAGTATATGTAAATAAATGTTTTTTTTTTCTCCTTTGCCTAACACACCTTTACAGGTTTTCACTGCATTGTGCGTTACAGTATACGTACAATAAAAATGCCGAAGAAAAGCAAATGAACATCACTCAGAGATTTGAACAGCGTTGATCCTAGGTAACGAACCCTGTTCTTGCTAGGTCAGTTTTCACAGATTTCCATCCTGCCTTTGAGGGCGTCCATATACAGGGGCTGTTTGTTGAATTTCACCTTAATTTGATTATCTTTTTTTTTCTATTTCATATCTATCGGTACAAATAAAAAAAATGGAAACACACCACTATCACGCCCTTTTGAATTTTGATTCTTTCCTGAGGCTGATCCATTTAGTTTTCGGGCTCCTGCAGTCGGCAGGATCGTGGTCCTTGTCAGGGCGCTGAGGAAACTCCTGAGCTCCACCATAGCTTCCTGGGGCGCTTCCTTCGGGATCTCTCCTGGGAAACTCCGGTGACTCTGGGACTTCACATCTTTTTTTAGTTTGTTTGTACTAGCTTGCGTTGCTCAGCAGGTATTCCACGTGTGTATTGCGGCGTCGAGGTCACCCGGAGGTCCTTCGCAGGAGCGTCTTCCGGAATCGGCCACGTCCAGTTATCACAACGAGAGGTAGATCCAGCCAGCGAGGGGAATGGGAATGGGAATGGGGAATGAGGGAGAGGGAAACAACGGGGGGAAAGGGAAAGAGGGGGAACAAAGGGGAAAGAAAGGGAAGAGAAGAGAGAGGGAGGGAGGGAGGGAGAAGCAGGACACTATAAGGGGGACTAAGGGAAGATCAGGAAACATAGAATGAAAGAGACACACAAAAAAAGAAAGAAAATATCGAGAGAAAGGGAAAAAAAACAATAGGATAAAAGATGATAAAGAGAAAAGGGGGAAAGGCAATCATAATCCAGTAGGAAAAGAAAGAAAGAGAGAAAACAATAACGAATCGAGAGAGAAAAGAGAGAGAGAGAGAGAGAGAAAGAGAGAGAGTAGACAAACGCAAGCAAGGGCACGGGACACCTGAAGCAGGGAGCGAGCCGCGAGTGCACCCAGCGAGAGGGCCTGGATCTACCACCGAGGGGGATATAAACTTAGAAGCGTCGTCAGGAGTGAAGGAGAGGCGTGGATTCCGGCCCAGACGTCCATGAGCAGGTGGAGGCG